TTTTCTTTTTCCCCTCTTACTAAAATTACCTAAAAGAAACCTCAATTTCTCTGAATTCATTAACTCTCAAAGCAAACAGTGAGAGAATGTAGCATACAGTTGTCTTGAATATTCGTTATATCCATATTTGAGAACCTCTAAGGAGGTTTAGACTTTAGAGATTTAGACTTTAGAGACTCAGAGGGGGCACATGCCTGGCCTTCTCCCACCCCCAGATGCCCAGGCATCAGACACAATGGCAAAAGTCCCAAAGCCCAGGCAGATAAAATCACATCCCAAGTCACATGACACAAAGAAGGGGTCTGTGCAGCAAGGCTCTTTGTAAGCCTCAGAGGTTGATCCTTCCAGAAGGCCCAAGCCCCCACAGTCAGTGTCCCCTCTGACCCCTGGCCACCTGTCTTGAAAACTAAAACCCACAAGACTACGTGCTGTTTACACTGTGTCCTTGGGGGAATGGAGGAAGGCGAACAGAGTAGTCTCACTATGTAAAAAAGGAGGACGTTAATATTTATCAAGCACCTACTAGGTATAATAGAAGAGTAGATATCCTTATTACTATTTTATAGATAAGTTACTAAAGTGATTTATCAAGTCTCACTGTGAATAGGAAAAGAAGGGATTTGAACCCAGGTCTGAAGCAATTTTGCTTCAGAAACAATGCTTTGAAGTAACAATGAAAACTTTAACCCCGACCCTGGTCCTACTTCATCCAATCTAAGAACCAAACTGACGATGAAGGGAATAAAAGACAATACCCCAAATTACCCAAAAACTACCAGGAAAAAAAAAATGGAGGAGGAAGAGGAAGGGAAGCTATGTATTGATATGTACACACATACACACATAATCCCATATATATTTACATATTGCTTTTCTTTCCCATACTTATTTATAAACACTTTAATTCTCCACAGGTTGGGAGCATCAATTCACGTTGGCTAGAAATGTGACTTCTTTAGTATTTACCATTTTAACAAAATCCATGATAAGTGATTTGGAAGGTCCCACGGAGAGGATGAAATGACACCTTTCTGTTACCCAGTTTCTTTAGGACCTCTATGGTTGAGAAGAGAGGACAAAGGAACACCCCCACCTCTGCCATCCTCCGAGGGATTTTTCACAGCAATTCCAGTGCTGCTCAGGGGAAAGCTCCGCAAGTCAACTGCAAACCCCCAGCCCCAGACGTTAGACGTTTACAAACTTTGTTGCTGATTTATCAGCACTCCTCTGCGATTTTGGGGGCAGGAGCAAACACAAGCTAAGTCACCACACAGGCTCCAACCCTTACCCCAAGATGGGGGGAAAAACTCCAAAGGAGATGCAGGAGGGAGCCTCAGCAGTCACTGTGAGAGCACAAAGAGGCCAAGACCCAGGGTAGGCAAAGGAAGGTGAGAGGCACCAGCAGGGCAGAAGGAGGAGTCAGCTATAAACATGGAGGCTTCCCGCTCCCCACACAGCAAGCTATGGAAGGAAGCTTCCAGCAAGATTCATGTCTAAGCTTTTCAAGTTAAAGTCTTGGCTACATCTACAATGAAGGGTGCCTGAACAACTTCTTGAGGGAATAAGGCAGAATTTCCCCCTTATGCGGATAACAAAAGAGCTAGCCACCCGGAAAACTTGCCACATCCCAATTTTCAGAGATGGTCAGTCTCTCAGAAGAATCCTTGTGATTAGCTATCAGAACCTGTCCAGTTCCGCATGTGAGAAGGTAATCCAAGGCATCATCGAGAGGAAGGGGCATCAGGATTCATGGACAACAAAAAAATCTCTGATTCCTCCAAAAGGCGTGTGGGTCAGAGAGCTTCCGAAGAGGCTGCCTCCACCAGTTCTCATTTCACGTTGGGAGGTTACAGGGTGGGTCTTGTTTTCTTGGCTATTCCCCATCTAATCTGAAAGCCAAGGTCACAACCTCTTAGCAATGGGGTGACAATCTCATATAGAGCTGCAGTAAACAGCCATTCTTGCCAAGCTGATATTAACATTTCTTTTTTCTTTTTGATGTTACACACAATCCTGTCCTTGCTGTACCAGAAAGCCATTTCACCCATCTGTCTGGGAAGATGATCCAATTTTGGTGCTTTTATCATCAATGCTTTCAGCAACTTTGTTCTACTTCCCCTACTGTAATTACTTTTGAATCATCAACACACCCAGACAGCCTTAAACCTCAGAGAACAGAATGCTAAAAAAGAAAAAAAAAAAACTGCAATGGCAAGTAACTTCACTAAATAGCCACCCAAGCTAGGAGCAATTTGTTTCTTTCCAGAAATTTACTTATTAATAATAAGTACCTCACACTCCTTCTTCCCCTTTTCCCAAAGGCAGGCAAGGCATGGAGATGGGATGTTATAGACAGGAGGGAGTGGGGAGAAGCAGGAACTCCAAAAGGAGCTAATTAAAACGTCTGCTTCCCCAGTCTTTTGTTTTGTTTTGAAGATGTAGGTTTTGTTTGTAAATGATGGGGGACTGAGAAAGTTGGTTGAGTGGTTGATGGGTGCCTAAGTAGCCCAGGAAGAAAGTATGCCTTCTCTGGAATGCAATCAAATTACATGGGGAGGGGCTGGGGAGGGGCCGGGCGCGGTGGCTCAGGCCTGTAATCCCAGCACTTTGGGAGGCTGAAGCGGGCTGATCACCTCAGGAGTGAAGACCAGCCTGGGCAATTGGCGAAACCCGTCTGTACTAAAAATACAAAAAAATTAGACAGGCATGATGGCGCGCGCCTGTAATCCCAGCTACTCGGGAGGCTGAGGCAGGAGAATTGCTTGAATCTGGGAGGTGGAGGCTGCAGTGAGCTGAGATCACGCCACTGCACTCTAGCTTGGGCAACAGAGTGGGACTCCATCTCAATTAAAAAATAAAAATAAAAAATTACATGGGGAGGGACAGACTCAGTGGCTGCTGGCTTAAACCACGCACACACAAAAAGGGAAACATTAACTCCAAGAAAATCCAACACCAGCAACTTAACACTGCCAAGCCAGTTGCTCTGCTTTCTGCTGTTATCTATTCTGTGGCCTGCCATTCACCCTGGTGGATGAAACTTCCAGCTCTGATTTCTACGACGCCCCGGCGCAGTCCACCTATCCCTTACTCCTCGCGTGGTCTCACGATGCCCAAGGCACACTCCAGAGCACAGGGCTCCTCCCCCTATTCATCACCACTGCCCCCTCTTGAATCCCCCCACATCTGGATTTCTTCCCCTCTGGCTAGCTCTTAGGGTCTTTTCCTGGGATGAGTTTGGGAAGGGAGTGGGAAGAGTCAGGAGTGAGCTATGAACACACGCAGCCTCCCTCCCTTTTTCAGCCGTCAGCACAGTTGAGCAGCCAGCAGAGGCGGTGAAGTTGCCGCCTGGGTCACAGTCTGGTTAGTGATGCAGCCAGGAGAGCAGGAATCAATGGCAACACCGAGGTCAGGGAGGCCGGAGCCTTCTGGGGGGTTGGGATCTGAGTAGGCCAGGCTCATCCCTCCTCAGGGCAGGCTTATTTAAAGTCCGGCCAGTGATGCAAGAGGAACACACTGCCCCCTCCCCCCACCCCTAACCCCCTCCCAGCTCCTCTGGTTCCACTGGGAAATTTGGGAGAGGCTGACACCACCAACTCAGCGTCTTTGCTCCTAGGGAAGTTGGGGGAGCTCCTTGGAACGTGAACCCCAGGAATTAGTGACCTGCTGACTAATGTTGCCAAACGGGTAGACGTGGGGCACACAAGGCCCCGAAGCTGGCCGCCCACCAGGCTCTAGGCCTCAGTGTGTTCAACTGCAGCACCGGCCCCTCGCGCTCTGTGGAGGAGGGGCGGGAGCGCTCCGGATTCCGCCCCAGGAGCCAGCTCCCGCCCCAGCCTCCGGGGCCAGGTGGCCCGGGTCCGGCGGCTCTCCAGAGAAACGCCACACTCGTCCTTACACCCCGCGGAAATTCTGCCGCTATTTTGGACACATTCCTCAAGGCCAGAAGAACGTGGCGGAGGGGGAAAGAGTTTCGAGTCCCCCACTGTGACCAAACTAAGAGGTTCCACCCTCGCTCCCCAGCTTTCTCCCGCCCCGGGAGAGGCCTCGGCCGCCGCCTCACCCCGGCGAGGGCCTGCGGGCCCCCTCGCGCCTCCACCTGACACTCTGGAAGGCGGGGGCCGCCAGCCCCTGCCCACAGAGAACTCGCACTTTTTCGCTGCGCGATTCAGAACCACGCCGGGTCTGATGCCATCCGGCGAATTATGTAACCAGGGACACCGCTCCCGAGCTAAACAAACGCGGCTCTGTGTGTGCAGCGGCGGCCCCGGGGGAGCGCACCGGGCAGGGAGGGGCTCTGGCCGGGCCTCGGAGTCGGGCTTGTTTGCTCAGCGAAACTGGCCAGAGGCAGCCGGGAGGGAGCCCGGCGCCGCCAATGTCCCGGGGCCCGCGCTGAGCCGGGGACCCGCCACGTCTGGTCTGCCAGGGCCCGGGCCCCTCCCCCACCGCGACCGCCCCCGCCTCCAAGAGGTGAACTTGGTCCCAAGTCCCGCCGGACGCCGTCACCGCCAGCTAGCTGCTGGAGCGACCTCGGGCTTGGGGGGCCTGGAAGTACTGGATTCCAGTCCCGGCTGCGTTCCATCTGGGGGTCCCTCCGTCACCTTCCTAACCCCTCCCCGCGATCCCAGGGCAGCCGCGCGCGGCTGTGAGGGAAAGTGACGACCCTATCCCCCAACTCTGAGGGGACGGACGCGGAGTGGCCCAGTGCTTCGAGAGCGATCCCTCCGTCTCTCAATCCCGAGGGGAGGGGTTGCGGGAAAGGGTGACAGCTGCGCCGAAGACGCCCCTTCCCCTAGGGCGCCGGGATCCCGGGTCCCGTGCAGCCCCCACGGAGGTCTGAGTGCCAGCCGGGATGCGGGGGCGGATGGACCGAAGGGGTCCAGTCGGGATCACTGGCTCTGAGCCCGGGAGGTCAAGGGCCGAGACCTGGGGTGCGGGGCTATGCTAGCCCCCTCCTCGCCCGGGGGCGACGCAAAGTTTTGGGAAGTTGCTGCCCCTACCTTGCTTGGTGAGCACCAGGGCGTCTTCCCTCCGCGCCTGGGTGATGATGGAGCCGTGTTCCATCTAACAATCCCGCGGGCCCGGGCTGGCTGGGCGGGAGGACTGGCGGGCGCGCGGGCTGGGCTGGGCTGGGGGGCCTGGGCGGGGGCCCGCTCCAGCTCCCGAGATTCCGACTTCCACAGCTGTTCACATCCCCCCTCTCGTTTCCTCCCCGGGCCGGGAAGGTAGGCGGCCTGTACAGAGGGCGGGCGGCCCGGGCAACGGCTCCCCCGGGTGCCCCCGGCCCCGATCCCCCGGCGGCAGCTCCGGGCTCCTCAGTTTGGGTCCAACATGGAGAATCCGGAGCGAAAACAAGAGGAGGAAATGGGACACGGGGCGGTTTCCAGGCTCCCCCCTCCCCTCCGTACTCCAGATAAACAACCCGCGGCTGCAGCGCCCACCCCCGCGCGCCTCCCGGATCTCGACTCGGCCTCTTCACGGCCCACTGGAGCTTCCCGCTCCGGGGCTGCGTCCTAGGCCCCGGGACCCTCCACCTGTGAGCGACCGGGGCTTCGGACAGTCCGGAGCTTCGCTATTTTGTTAAGGAAAAAGCGAATCCTCAAGGGGGGTGGGGTGGCGGGCGGGCGGGCTGGCGGGGGAGACTTGAAACTGCTCCGGTGCTCCGATTGGCTCTCTTGGAGAAAAGGGGCGTGGCCCCTCCTTACTATGCGGTGAGAGGACCTAACAACATTCCAGGCGCCACGGCCACGCCCCCGGGCCACTCCTCCATCGCCAGACTGCGGCCTCCCAGTCTCCTCGGCCACACCCCCTTCCCAACTATTTAAAAGGCCACTCCAAAGCTCACGTTTCTGTCCTCAGTGCTGGGGTGTTCTTGTCTCGGTGGCTGCAGTCGGGGAAGGTGCAATGGTTCTGCCCTTCAGGGGTGACCAGGACAAGCCGCTGAGCCTAACCGGACTCCGGCAGGGGATGGGGCGGATCGGAAGTTACCTTACCCCTTGCTTAGCCCTCGAATCAAGGACCTACCAAGTCACATAAAAGTACAACCGTCGAGGCCGGGCGCGGTGGCTTACGCCTGTAATCCCAGCATTTTGGAAGGCCGAGGTGGGTGGATCACGAGATCAGGAGTTCAAGACCAGTCTGGTCAAGATGGTGAAACCCTGTCTCTACTAAAAATACTAAAAAAAAAAAAAAAAAAAAAAAATTAGCCGGGCGTGGTGGCGGTCACCTGTAATCCCAGCTACTTGGGAGGCTGAGGCAGAGAATTGCTTGAACCCGGGAGACGGAGATTGCAGTTAGCCGAGATCGTGCCACTTGGCACTCCAGCGTAGACGACAGAGCGAGCCTCCGTCTCAAAAAAAAAAAAAAAAAAAAGTACAACCTTCGAGTCCCGAAAGGGGTGTATGCGCGTGGGCGGACCTAGGACTCCAGAGTATAAGAGCTGCAACTGACCTCGGGACTGTGTCACCCCCAACACTGAAAATGAGACCTGAAGTGCTGGGCTTTCCTCACAGCCAACGACTTACTCCAATTTAGGCAGCCCCGACTCCTCCCCTCCACCCTACCTTCCTCATCCTACCCCTCTCTCTGCCCCCACCGTCCCAGCTTCCTTTAGATGAATGGAGGTCTCTCAGGGAGGAGCTTCAGCTTTGTGGACTCAGACTGCCCTCCCCACTTGCTCTTTAGGCCTCAGGGCATGCTCGGCTGGCTATGGCTCCTGGAGTCTCTGCTCAAGGTTGTAGGTGCTTTTGCTCCCCAGAGGCAGTAGCTCCAGAAAGGTTGGTTTCAGGTCAAAATCAGGTCTTTTCCAGTGATCTACATCTGTCCACAGGTGACACGGGCTGCCTTGGGACAAAAAAGGCCAGCAAGAGTGGTGTAGAGTGAGATTGCACTGGGTGACTTCTGAGCTAAATCCAACCCTAATATTCTGTGATTCAATGGCACTCACCCTGCCAAGGAAGGGGCTTCCTTCCTGCTGCAGTTCCCATTGCCCAACATGCATCAGGTCTTACCGATGGTTAGAGGACAACTAGGTCACAGCTAAACTTGCCAGGTACTATCAGACACCTGCTCCCTATGGTCCCTTCCTCATGAGGACAGGTGAGGTCATGATCTGCATATGCCTGTGTGCCATACAGTGATCATGTGTGCCTGTTTCTTTCTGCTGTTCCTACGCACGTATACAAAACCTTTTTATATAACACCATTTTAATGGAAATGCTGTTTTTCCAAAATGAAAGTGGCTGTTACAGATCTGAATGATGCTTATGTAACTTTAAACACTGAATTTGGGTAGATCTTAATTCATTAACAGAAAGGGAAACGGAGGAGTTCTGACATACCCACCTCCCATCATTAAAACAATAGGATCTTTAAGGTAAATCTTCAACAGTCAGGTTGCTAGGGGGGGGCCTTTTAGACCCTGCCCCTGCTGTCTTTTAATGTAGAATAGTTACAGTGGGAGCAATGCAAGCAGGAGCTGAGGACTGAGGATTGAGGGGGGCCTGCTACCCATAGCACTGTAGGGCAGGACACTTCATTATGCTTCCATTTCCTCATCCATAGAGACAATACCTCCCCTTTTGTAATTTACAAAGTGCTTTCACATACATTATCTGTCTCATTTGATCTGTCACTTCTTTGAGGTTGATAGAGCAGATACTGTGCCCATTTTTATGGATGCCTGTTTTGTAAATGAGGGATCAGGGTCTGGGAAGGTTAATTGACTCACCTGAGACCTCATGGCTTGTTAAGGAGACAGGATGTCTTTGGACTTTAAGACTAGAACCCTTGACATTTTAACATAGTTCCCTTCTTATCCATAGGATGGAGGAGACACTAGAACCTATCGCTCTCTTTTCTTGCTGAGAGCTCCAACTGCATCACCTCTCCTGGAAGCCCTCCCAGATGCCCGCCCTCATGTCAGGGTTTCATAGCCTCGTACATACTCTCTCAGACCACTTGGCATCGTATCTTGCAACTGTGTGCTTATTGGCTTCCCAACCAGAAGGTGGATTGAGACTAGGGGATGTCTTTACTGGGTTTCTTGTGCCTAGCAGAGTGCCTATCGCAGAACAGGTGACCTGTACATGTTGAGATGAAGTCTCACTCTGTTGCCTAGGCTGGAGTGAAGTGGTGTGATCTTGGCTCACTGCAACCTCTGCCCCCTGGCTTCAAGCGATTCTCCTGCCTCAGCCTCTTGAGTAGCTGGGATTATAGGCACCCACCACCACGCCCAGCTAATTTTTGTATTTTTAGTAGAGACGGGGTTTCACCATGTTGGCCAGGCTGGTCTCGAACTCTTGACCTCAGGTGATCCACCTGCCTTGGCCTCCCAAAGTGCTAGGATTACTGGTGTAAGCCACCATGCCTGGCCTTGACTTTATGTCTTAACCAGTGTTCTTTTGTCCAGGAATTCGTTCAGTGACCTACAGCAAGAAACACATTTTATGTTGTGGGATAAATGATACAAAAATTTCATGGACAATACTTACCCTGGCTGTGTGTGCACACTCATATTTTCTATTGCACGTATTGTATTCTATTTGATGGTTTTAAGGCGCCAGCCATGACCTTCTAAATTGAATTCACAAACCACCACTGGATTGTGACCCAGTGTTAAAACAATGCTACTTTCACTCCTGAATACAGTGGATGCCTTCATGTGTAGGGCTCTGGCTGTCCCTGAAAAATGCAGAGGAGATGGTCCTCAAGCATTTCTTGCTCTGAGGTCAAAGAAAAGTTTGTGTATAACAGATAGAACCCCTTCCAAGGCCAGAGGCACAGGGATGCAAATAGAACCCAGCAAGGAGGGGTAAATGAGGGAGGAGGGACAGTTCCCAAGAGGCCTGGTGAGGACCCCGTGTTTCCAGAGACTACAAAAGCAGTGGAGGCTCTACTGGAGCCTGGAACCCCAAACATAGGTGGGGCTTGCTCTCTTGATGCCACAGGTTTCTCACTGCTCTGCCCACAGATGACTAAGAAAAGGTCTGCATTCTGGAAAGCTCTAGGGTCATGGTGGGCCTCTTTCCTGTAAAGTGGTGAGGGTGGTGGGAGGCAAGTGGACCTTCTAACTTCTGCCTAAAACAGCCTTAAAAATAACATCTTGCCTACAGGGCCTGGGCCAGTTGCTGGTTGTGTAACTTTAGGTGGTTCATTTTAGGTGGTTCAAGGGAGATAGCTGAAGCCAGGTCTAACAACTCTCCCAGGAGAATGTCCACTGACTCTCACTTGGTTCCCTACCTGCTCTATCCCCTTTCCTCTGTCCTCTCTGACTGCATGGTTGGAAAGAGGCAATTTGGAAACAACAGCGGTGTCCCCATTACCCCCAAATGCTGGAACAGGGGACTAGGTGGGGCAAACACGGAGTAGCTGTCCTTGTCTGTCTCCTGCTGTGGCTACTGAAGTCGGACTGGGTGTCCTGAGCCAAGGCCGGCGAAAGGGAAACAGCTGGAGGAGCTTCCTCCATGGAAGATACCTAATTGCCCTTTTCCCCACAGAAAATAAGTACAAGGTTGGGCTACTGACCTTTCATGATTATCTCTGATGTCACTGAGATGCTACTTTTTTTCTTAAAACCTTTAAAAAAAAAAAAAAAAAAAAGGAAAAGAACACACTTCTTTTCTTGGTTTTTCTGATTGTCCCTGCAGTCTCAGTTCTGCTTTGTATTGTTCATGGGTAGGTGGATGTCAGTGCCAAGATTCCAGAGCTTGGTGCCCTCCTGTCACAAGGCTTGTGTGGTATGGTCCTGTCCTGGCTTCCCAAGGTAGAGTCTCGGGGCTGAGGTGGGGTGGGGTGAGGGAGAGAGACCCAGCGACTAATGACTGAACTGCTGTGGGGGTGCCAGATGCTGAGGGCTGGAGAGGGAGGGAGGAGCTAGTGATAGCGGGGATAGCTCCTCTGTGCAACAGCCTGGGAAACCTCACTGCCTGCAAGGTGCACACATGCTCATCACTCCAACACCACCACTTAGTTACTTAACCTCTTGACTCAGTTTCCCCTTAAGATGGAGACAACAATAGTACCTACTTTGTAAGTTATTGTGAGGATTAAATGAGATGATATATGAAGTGTTTATGCCTGAAACTGAGTGCTTAATAGATACTATGCTCATCATCATCATTCTCCTTTCCTCCAAAGTTGTTCCTTCTGCATCCATCATCTGCCCAGTTCCCCAAGCCAGAAACCTGAGATCATCCAATTCTCTTCCACCTAACTCATGCCTACCCCCAATCAGTCCTGAAAACCAATGGCTCCTCCACTCCCAAAGATTTGTCAGGCCTTTTCCTTCTTTCGATTCCAATGCATGGCTGGCTGCTGTTTCAAGGGAGGTTGGCAACAGGCTTCTCATCAACCTTTTTCATTCTCTACATCCCAAATTCAAATCCATTCCCAGCTCTCCTAGAAAATGCAAATCTGACTCTGTCTTGTCCTGATCCTGTCTGTATGGAATGATTCAGCAGTTCCCTGAGACTTCCAGAAGGAAGCTCAGATGCCTAGCTGGGCACCCATGGTCCCCAAGATCTGGCTCCTGTCAGCCTGCCCACCCCATCTCCAGCACTTTCCCCCACAGCCCCCTGTGCTCCTGTCAGGAG